CCCAAATGCATTAATTTCCAGCGCAGAATTTTGCTCACATTTCCAGCAGCTAACTCCATCTTGTATTGTGGTTGGGGACTTAAATGCCCACCATCATATGTGGGATACGAGAACGCACAGCAACAGGACTGGTGTCAATCTAGTTGATAGCTTGGCAGAGTTCCCAAACCTTTGTTTGATAACACCTCGCTCCCTACCTACCTATTTCCATGTCCAAACAGGCAACTTTTCCACACTTGAGCTGTGTTTGTGTCCAAATATTTGGTACCCAGTGCCAATGTTGTGGTGGAGGATGAGATGGGAAGCGACCAAGAGCCGGTGCTCATTACACTTAACAATAACCCTGCCATAACAACTTTCAGAGCTAGGCCAAGATGGATTTTTAAACCCGAGAGCTGGGAGAAATGGAAGGCAACCTTGAGACCTGCCCAGAGAAGCGGAGATTTTGGAGAGGAGGTGAAAACTTTTACAACAAGACTGATTGAAACGTCCGAAAGTGTGTTCAGAAAGACCCGGGAAGTGGTGACTCCGAAATACTCTAAATCCTGGTGGAATGAGACCTGTGCTCTCCTTATCAATGACATGCCGCCAGAAAGAAGTTAAAGAATCCCCCCATACTGGCCAACCTGATAGCACTCCGGAGAGCAGAGGCGCTCGTGAAGTAAGAAATCCAAAAGGAGTCCTTCAAAAACTTCATCTCAGGAATTTCCAGTTTTACCCCAGTGACCAAGGGATGAAAAAGAATTGGGAAACTGTCGGATAAACAAGCAGTCCAGCGTGCTACCCCACTCTTTTATTATATAAATAAAAAAGTGGGGTAGCACGTATATTACAGATATATATATATATATTATATATTACACAATACAATATATTACAGATCCTATTCATAAAGCAAACATAATAGCCGAGCAATATGCAAGCTTGGTGGATGCAGCTGGCCTGAGAGGTTCTCTCCCTGCTGGGGAGTCCTTTATACTCCCTGTTGCTGTGGCTGTTAGTGAGGAGCACCCTGCTGCATATAATGATTCATTCTCATTGTATGAACTGCGGCAAGCTTTGAAGGTATTGAATAGGTCATCCCCAGGTCATGACATGGTGCATAACGAAATGTTGAAGCACCTCTCGCAAGACTTTGAAGATTGGCTCCTGGATTTGTTAACCACAACTACAAGAATGGGGAGATACCTACCATGTGGAGACATGACACCATCATACCCATACTTAAACCTGGAAAGTCCCCTAGTGACCCTGCATCATATCGCCCAATTTCGCTCCTGCCTTGCATTCCAAAATTATTAGAGCGATTTATTAGCTCACGGCTAACATACGTTCTGGACACCTCGGGGAGTCTGAGCCCCACCCAGAGTGGTTTCAGGCGCCGTATGTGTGCCTTGGATCAGGTCGCTAGATTAGAAATGTGCATCCGACACACCTTGAGCAGGAGGAAGCTATGTGCAGCAGTATTCTTTGACCTATCCAATGCCTACGACTGTGTATGGCACCTAGGGCTGCTGTACAAGCTTCAGAAGTTTGGCATAAGAGGACGAATGTTGTCATGGATAAAAGCATACCTGACCTCACGCACCATTAAAGTATTCTTTGAAGGTGCTTATTTTGACGAGCTTCCCATTTTGTCAGGGGTCCCTCAGAGATCAGTCCTTTCCCCCACCCTGTTCAATATCATGATATCAGATTTACCCCGTGTACCAGATGTGAAAATCTCAGAATACGCAGATGACTTAGCAGTATACTGCTGTGGTGCTCTAGTGAGACACGTTGAGGAAAAACTTCAATCCCAGGTGAGCTAGCTCCATGAATGGATGCTCAAGTGGGGATTCTCTGTTAACCCTGCTAAAAACAAGGGTATGATTTTTACTAGGAAATCAATAACAAACCCTGTAATTAAGGTAGGACTTGAACAAATTGCGTTTATCTATTGTCATAAGTTCCTGCGTATGATGCGTGATGCCCTGGCTTGGTGTGGCGTGACCATCTGCAGTACCTTAGAGACAAGTACCTCACACGAGTCAACTTGATGCAGTCTATGCCAACTCACAGGTGGGGGGCTGATAGAGAAATGAATTATAAATCAGTGATATGAGCCACAATAGATTATGGCTCAATGTTTTACTCTACTGCGCCCAACGCACACCTGCAGAAGTTGAAGACTATCCAAAACCGGTGCCTACTAATAGCAATTGGAGCCCGGAAAACATCACCCATAATATCCTTGGAAGTAGAGAGCCATATCCCTCCATTGTCATTGCACAAAATGCTGGTAAGTTTAAGATTTTTCGGCCGAATTGCTGAATTACCTCGGCTTGCAGCTGTTTCTAATGAACTGGTATATACAGTACAAACCCAGCACCAAGAGGACAGCCATAGGAGCGCAGCCGTGCACCACCAATTTTGTGCACCAATAAGCCCTGAATCGAACGCCTTGGATCTCTCCGGACATCCACCAATCAGCCGTGAACCACTCGGCTTTGTCCACCTCCAGCCTGGCATAGAACCTGCCGTGCACCACCAGGCCGCGGATCGAATATGACTTCCGGGCATCGTTAAATTACGTAATTTTACGTTCACCATATCTAAGGTTAGGTGTCAGATAGCAAAGTTCTGTTCCAAAATTTATCGTCCTTCGACGAGTGGCCGTTCGACCGAGGGCTGGTTCGACCCAGGGCTTAGATACGGACGGCTTGAAGTGTTGAAGCCTACGTTCCGGAAGGCAGGAATCATGATAGTCCATTACATCCAGGGCAGTGGTGGTCTTCGGCAGGCGACCCGACAGCCATGGGTGGGCAACATCCTTTTTCCCCCATTGGGGAGCCGGATACCGGTGTACTCAAACCTGTTGGGAGTGAAGCCTGCGGGCAATGCTGCTCCTCTGGTGTCTCCCATCCCTCCGTGGGTGGACCTGAATGATTTGATTTGCCTCGACTTACTCCCTATGCCAGTTAAGAAAATAACGGAAAATATTGCACAAGCGACCTTCAAGGACCTGCAAGCGACCCGCTATGCGGGTTACATGGAGGTATTCACTGATGGCTCAAGACTGGAGCATCCAGAGGTGTCAGCCGCAGCATCCGTGGTGGTACGGTACCCCAATTCAGTAAGTAGCTTTAACTGGAAGCTGCCTCCGCAAACAAGCATTTTGGAATGTGAACTGTTTGCTATACTTAAAGCCTTACAATTTCTCCTGAACAACTTTAGGCCAACAACAGGTGCAGTCATTTACTCAGACTCCATGTCCAGCTTATCCTTGATACAATCTTTGCGCCCTAAATCCTACCTTCCATGTATCTTTGAAATTCATAGGTTAATACAACAGATTGCACTACAATGTCCCCTTTATATTCAATTCACACCAGGTCACAAGAATATTGAAGGGAACGAGCTCGCGAATCTGGCAGCTAAAGCTAGGCACAGTCGGCAGGATGTCACGTCAAATCCATGGTTGGGCAGGGAAGACATGGTAAGAGAAGTAAAGTTATCACTTCTTAAGGTTTGGGAGAGTAAATGGCTCCAGGAAGTAGAAACCTCCAATAAGGGAAGACACTTAATGTCGTAAAGAGCCATGTAAAGTACTGGCCATGGACATCATGTCGCCATAGAAACTTGGAAACAGCAGTAGCCCGACTACGGATTGGGCACGTTGGAGTGAAGGAACACTTGCACCGTTTCAGACTAGCAGAGACTAGCCTATGCCAATGTGGAAGTATAGACTCAATTGTTCACTACTTGTTACAGTGTCCACTTTTTGCAATTGCACGGACTGAGCTACAAATAACACTGCATGGGCTCGGAGTCCCAATAACGGTTAAAAACTTACGCGGTGGTGGTGACTTTACCCCACAGATACAATTCATCATAGTTGAAGCCTTCTCTTAAGTACCTTCTCAGCACAGGTCGCCTGAGAGACCTGTAGACTTTGCCTAACCACTAACTTAGAGGTCCTAAACCTTCCTTCTGATGCCACTTCAAATGCCATGCTCCTGGAAAGACTCTATCCCACATGTATTATTGTAAATGTGATTATGTACAGGATCCTCCTAGGAGTCCTAAACAAATCGCCCAGACAGCAAGCCCCCTTGGAAGTACGACCCTGATGGTAGTTGCCAAGTAGCATAGCAGATGTAGCATCAGCTGGTCTTTGTTTTTTCATATAAAGTGTGCCCCTCGTATGGATTTTGATGATGCTTCAGGCTGCACCAGCCCAGGCTGGACCATCTGGCCCATGCTCTCTGTCTGGGTAGGCCCTCCCGATAGGTAAGGGTGACTAACCTTGCTTGATTTACTAATCTAATTTGAAGTAGCTTGTTGAACTAATAAAACAACCTTAAAGTTTTCAAAGTCTAATCTGGCCTTTTTTCCACATGCCGCTCCAGTCTGGCCATCGCTGACCATCCAGACGTGAGGCTGGTGGTGAACAACCGAATCCTCATAAAAATGGATCCGAAGAAGAAGAAATAATCGCAGCTAATACTAGCCTCGTGTATAAGCGCCTAAATCTATAAATCCTGTAGCTTTTCAGTGGTTGATTATCCAATGGCATTTAATTAATAATTGAACATTGAAAACTGCCAAGTTTATCTTTAATAACACGGTTGGTAGCATTGAAATTATACTCACCTTGGCTTCTATTTGTGCTGAGCCGAATCGAGCAATTTGCGAGTAGCAATGCAATGAGTGAGTAGAATTGTCTATTGTAATTTACTCTCAACTTGAAGAGCTATTTTGAGTACAAATACATCAGTGAACGGCGATTCAAGATCAAACGAGTTTCGCGCTGAGGCCAATTGGTATATGGCGTCCGAATCTGATATCATGTGATTTTTGAAGCATTGCCGCGAGGTGATAACCACGTTAATGTAGGCGTTTAAGGTGGCATTTATTTATTTGTTTCCGTTATTGCAAAACACCAGCAGAGGTTAATAAGTCTCGTTGTGCTAAATGCTTTTGCAGAAAATTATTAGTCGAACTTAGTTTAATTAGGTCGGAACAGCATTTTTTCAGTAGAGAAACCGAAGATTTTATTGAAGAATTTTCAAGGGCTGTGTGTGTTTCAGGTGCATTCAACTTTTTTGTGGTAATCCTAACATCAATGAATTATTTTCAGACTATATTTAAAATCATTAATGTATTTGTTGATGAGTGCTCATCTGATAGGATTGTGTTAAATTCCCTTCATTTGAACCCCGATGGTGCAGGCTGTCGTGTAGCGCATTTCCTGTATTATGAGCGTGATGCTCGGTTGGCTTTATTCAGGATGAGTTGGCCAGTATTAAGACATATTCTGCGGCGTTCATGTAGAGTCAGGCGGCTAATAACTCTAATTGGAGCAGCATCTTTACTTATCTGGCTTGTGTTTTTGGTGGTTGAAGGAGATAACCCAACATTTTTGTTTGGGTCACACCAAGCAATAGTTCATCGTGCAAAGCCTCACACGAATGGAAACCCCACGGGCAATGGACATAGAGTTTCCTCTCAAGGTGTGGATGATTTGATGCCGTCTCCTCTTCTAAGAAGAGGTCCGGTCCCTAATGTACTCGACTTCGGAGAAGCTAAACCTGACCACGAAAATGTGGCCCGAGAAGTGATTGACGCTAGAGATAACGCCGAACTCAAGTCAGACAACAAAATAAAATTAGACGACAATGCTGCCAGAGAAGAGCATTCTGGTGAAGCATTAGTTTTGCGAGAGAAGAACACTTTACAAGGATTTGTAAGGAACAACGTAACTAATGAGAACTTGAATGCTGCTCATGATGAACAAGAATATAGCTTTCACCAACTCCCTGAGCACCAGAAAGATACTCCCGAAGAGAAGTACGGCGCTTACAATAACTGGAGGAACCTAACCTCAACCGAGATCAACAGTTTGTCAGTGCTTGGTCGCCGCATGTTCTTGAACGAAAAAATTGGTCATGAACAAGACAGGATTTTCACAATACATATTTGGAAGTATGTAAAGCATATTGAAAAGAGATTATTGAAGAAAGGGTCGTCTGTAAATTTTGACCCGCTCGAAGATTGTTCTGTTAGCAACTGTAGAGTGACTACGGAAGATGGCGATGTCGAAGCTGCTGATATCGTGCTGTTCCATTTGCACAGAATCAAAGGTCCTCCAGTTGACGTCCCTAGAGCTCCTGGGCAGCTTTGGGTGTGGATGTCCGACGAGAGCCCATACAATGTTTTTATGGTATCGAGTAATCGCATTCTGAGCAATTATAATGGATTTTTCAATTGGTCAATGACCTACCGAATGGATTCGAATGTGCCAGTGCCTTACGGACGAACTGTTCCTCTACCTAAGGATCAATATTTAGATGAAATAGATGATTACTACAAAATTAAGCAAAAAAATATCAGCATATTAAGCTCTAATTGCGGTGGCATCAACGGAAGGTACAAGTATATTGCCGAGTTGCAGAAATACATCAAAGTTGACGTGTACGGCGGGTGTGGGCCACTCAAATGTCCGGGTCATTTTCACAACGACTGCGACAAGTTAAATGATTACAAGTTCTACTTGGCGTTCGAAAACTCAAACTGCGATGGCTACATAACCGAGAAGGTGAGTTTTAGTGCTTGTGGTCCTCCGTTTTTGTTGGTTTGAATGTGATCATATTATTTTCAGTGCAGTGAGCAAGGTAGGCAATTCCACACGCTTGAATCTTGTCATGATGATGCATCGAGAGGCAGATTTAATTCGATGAAGATTGACTGCTGCATGTTTGAACTTAATCATCACTTTTTGGGCGGCAGGTGTGGTGGAATGCACTGAACAAAGCAGCTGTTCCTGTGGTGATGGGGCCTCCTAAGCGAGACTATGAGAAGCTTCTCCCTCCGAAATCCTTTATTCATGTGGACGACTTCAAAAATCCGCAGGACCTGGCGCGATATCTGACGTGAGTTTATTCATAGTTCAAGGATTATGTCTTTCCTTTCGTTTTAACTGTTTACCAGATGAGACGTCACTCCAATCTCATAGCATTCCTGATCAAGTTCAATGAAATGTTCAATTTTTTGTCATGCTCTGCGTAATTCCAACAATTCGTGAATAGATATGGAAGATGGTAGGCTTATTTATAGTCACTAATTGTAGCTTTCTTCACTGCGGCGAAGTTCATAAAAGATAGAATGTAACTCAATGAAAAATTGTTGACAAATTTATTTACCTACGTATCTAATGAATAAATGGGTAAAATACTAAAATGTGTACTCGTGAATTTAATACTTTAGCATAAATCAATGGGGGAGAAGTCGATTCCATTGCTTTTGTTGAACTGGAATTTAAATTACTTGCGTGGTAATTCCAGATTCTTTTGGTTCTGTTAACCACACAATAATAATAAGGCATTTCCAAGAAAGAAATATTTGTTGACCGCCATTGAATTATGTCGGATAAGCAAAGTTTGTTTCGTTTTAGCCTGGCACCGCAAATTTATAGGCGCTATACCCACAGACGCGTATTCATGGTACTTATCGTGCTGCTTTATCTCCTGGATCTGAAAATTTATGCTTAGAGTGACAGAATTATTGAGTCAGTTCGAAATTGTTTTTTTTCTTTTAATGGCTGGCCTGATTCTTATGTACATTAACTAGTCTCGCTTAAATTCAGTTCTTATATCCTCGCCCATTCATTTAGACAACTGTTCCAGGTTTTGTGTGAATTTCAGGTACCTTTTGAACAACCCTGCCGAGTATCAGAAGTACCACGACTGGAGAAGACGATACCGAGTACTCAACGAGCACGGGTACTTCCAGTCGCCGGTGTACCACATTTGCAGACTCTGTGAGGCTCTCAACTACAACGACAAGAAAGATCAGCGGGCTGACTTGGAGCATTTCTTCCACAGAGATAGCCATTGTTATCCGAGCCAGCATTGGAGCTAGAAAAACCTCATATGGTGCCTAAATACTCTCCAATCTTTTCATATCTGTTATGGTTGCATTGACAGCTTTGAGAAAACGGACCTGTTTTCTAATGATACTTAAACTTACTTCACTTTCTCACCTAAATTGCTAAATGATTTACTTTTAAAATTGGTGGGCAAAACATGTTTAGACCATCATAGACGACCTTCAAACTGCCATGGAGATATTATATACAAGATAATTTTTCGACGTATTATATGGACATATTCTATCCAAGACAGTTAATTTATCCAAGTTTTATCTGAGCAAGGTCGATGAGCGCCCGCCAAGCGGTGGCGCGCGATCTTGCATCAGTGACAGGAATGGAACGCATGAATATATTTCTGATAAAAAATATGCAATCAAGTCAATGGTGTGACCTATACTCATGTGAAACACTGTACTTCTAGTTATGGGATTACAGTAAGTGGCTTATCGTTACATATCAGCATTAATTCTTCAATAAGCAGAAGCCATAAATCACACCGCATCAAATTGAACCTTTAACCAGTGCCTGCATCAAATGAAGATGGCTGAGTTTTGAAGATGTACTATGTACTTGTAGTTAAAGCTCTGAATTTGTTTCCATAATATTATAGCCCCCTTACTAACTCAAATTTGTACTCTTCTTTTGAGAGCGTGAATCTAGATTCCTTAATTACTTTTCTTAATTAGATTTTTTAATTTATCAATTTAAAATCTTGTTTCAAGTAGATGAAGTTATTTAAATCTGCACGGATCTGCTTTCCCATTATTACATCAAGTTTTCTACTTTTTTATCTAGCCTTGTTCTTCGTAATTTTTATCATAAGGCACGTCTTCTATTATCATCTCTTACAACTCAACAAGAACAACTAACCTTCATCCATAGTTCAGAAGACAGTAATATCATATCATTATCCTAGTGATGTCGGCGCTGAAGAATAGGCCTGGTGTGGCCTGTCGCCGATTCTTGTACTTTTCGTACCTTGTTCACAGGAGATCTAAAAATCCGCTCCTTTGAACGGATCTTTCCCAAACTGACGAAAGTTTAAAATAGCTAATAGACTTCCAACAAGTTCGATATTGTACTAGGCATTTCAAGTCTGAACATATATTTCTCTAAAGCTTTATCTAGTCTGTTCTAGAACTCGTTTATACTCTGAGCATCAACGATGTAACCAGGGAGGCTGTTCCACACGTCGGTGACTCGAAGCGAAAAGTGTTGTCGCGTGAATGAGTTGTATCGCAGTTTTTAGTTTATAGCTGTGGCCCCTGGTGTTGGTTCTTGTTTTAAATTCTATTAATCCTTCTGGGACCTTGTATAAACCATGAGTATACTCATATACTTCAATGAGGTCATCACGCAGACGAGGTGTAGTGACTAGCAATCTAAAGACGACTTTATAAAAAATATATAATAAAAATACATTGTATATATTCTGACTGATGACGGTAGGAATTTCAGCCCGACGCTCCGCATAACGCTGTACGGTTCAAGGCAATCTTTCATTGACGTCTGTCCACACCAGGGTCCACAGGTGTGAGTTCGCACATGCAGGTATTACACTTAATCAGCACTAACTATGCACCTCTGCGCTAGTTCTTTCCGTGTGATAAATCGATTGTTGAAGTTATTACTAAATAATAAAAATCTAATTCGAAATTATTCAACTCCTTTCGGGTCCAAAAATGTTACCATCACCACCAGAATATCAGGAAGAAGAAAGCGTTTACTACATTACATAGCCCGAAAAAAATTGAATAACATTCGACTAACCGTTTGAGGCGTATACTGTACCGCAAGCCCGGCCGTAAATTTGTCCTAGACGTCTCCATGGTGAGATCGCGTAAAACAGAACAAACTACTCAGATAAGTCGGCACCGTGTGGACGCTCTAAAAATTGCAACGATTTCATTCCGACTTCGAACTGCACCGACAAATCGTTGTGAAAACTGAGCGAGGCCGGTCCACAACCTCAGTTTTCACAACGATTTGCCTGCGCAGTTTTAAGTCGGAATGAAATCGTTGCAATTTTTAGAGCGTCCACGCGGTGCCGACTTACCTGAGTAGTTTGCTCAGCTTTGCGCGATCTGGCCATGGAGACGTCTCGGACAAATTTACGGCCGGACTTGCGGCCGGTCTCCCCAAATTCGATTAGCATGGAATATCTCCCATAGTAATGAACGTAGCTCGATAAAACTTGGTACACGTATTCATTAGGACTTAGCGGTGATGTTTAGCTCGTGAACATTTTTAGAACTTTACCTTCATTCGTGAGTTACATGACGATACGTGCCGAAATTTGCATTTGAAGAAACCTAACCTCCCAACGGCGATGTTTAGCTCGTGACAATTTTTTAGATTAGATAAAGCCGTATAACTCGCAAAGGAAGGCAAAATTGAAAAAGACATCACCGTTAGGTCCTAATTAATGCGTGTACCAAGTTTTATCGAGCTACGTTCATTACTTTTGAGATATTCCATGCTTATCGAATTTGGGGGGACCGGCCGCGAGTCCGGCCGTAAATTTGTCAGAGACGTGCCATGGAGAACGCAGTATTTTGATAAATTTTGGCATTGTGCCTTGTTAAAAAATAGATTGGACCATTTAGGTAATGCGAGGAATCCAAATACAAGAGAGATGGCTTGTAGATGTCTTCTTCTACAGGTCTAGATTGAATCGATTTTTTTATTTATTCCTAATTATTTACGGTGAATGCTCCTCAACTTATTTTACAGCCGTTTCTCTGTTTGCGCTTTCATCGATTTCTTTGAATTTTTCTACTAAGCTCTCGTATGTCTCCACTTTTTTTTGTCCCTGTAACTATAGTCCTTGAATTTTACTCGCCAAATGCAAGAAAAACTTTCGTATAGAAGAGCAATAAATTCCCGAGAACGTTACCGAAGGTCCGCCATTGTCGCCAGAATAATTGAAACTGAGCACAAATTGCATCGGAAAACTGTGCTACCGTCCACACGTTCCGACTTGTCTGCGCAGTTCATCGAAATCTATGCTCCGGAGCTCAGATTTCGATGCAACTGCGCAGTTTTCCCGGCGGCTTCAAAACTGCGCAGTTTTTCCGTCCACACGCAACGTTTTAACTGCAACAATTGGAACAGCGCAGACAGATCGTTGTGTAAAACTGAGCGTGTGGACCGGCCTTTAATACAGGCCTTGTACGTCGCTGCAGCAGCACCGTTTTCACCCGATCGATGACCGACGATATGCTGATAACATACCATAAAGGCCCGTTTACACTACGGGACTGATTCGGAAGGATCGAGACTGGACTGAGACCAATAAGCCACATGGCTGGGCCTCAAAACTGGCGTGTGCGTTCAGACTACGCGCATGTGCTAGGATCAAGACTCACGATTATCGCAGTGCTACCACTCTGCCGCGCGCATTTCAGTTACTTCTTGGCCTTTGAAGATGGATAGTGCCAACGAATAACTTGAAGATTTTGGATTGAAGATGGATTGAATTCAAAAGTTTTCGGCTATCTATATACCTAATAGCAGTTATGAAACGCAAAACCTAACCACAACCGCGGTGTAAATGAATCCTCGGCACCTGCTACAGATTTCAGGGTATCTTCCTTTCTTTTCATCTCTGATCTAAATTGATATCGCAAAGTGTGAATTTTTTCGATGTTCATAGATGCATCTGAATTCTTCATTTGTTCACTTATTTTTTCTAATGCTTGAAGTCTTGAGATTCTGTCTTTGTAAACCAAACTTTTTACTTTCCATAGGCAAGGTGCCTGTCTATATAACTCAATAAGCCTCTCAGTAACATCTCTGTTCCAGTCTCCGTCATGCGATATTGCAAAGCAAAGTAAATAAACAGGTGATTGTGTGTAAATAGGGTAGGAGCGACAGCAACGCACAACCTACTCAGACGGCAGTCAAAGCGACACTCCCGAGATGAGCGGCTCATCAGAGATGAGCGGCTCAAAAGAATGAACACTGCTTCATTCGCCGATGAGCCCGTGTCGATGGTCCGGACTGCCTCAGTCTGGACTGAAAAAGCCAGTTTTTCAGTCGTCAGTCGCGCAGAGTCTCGTAGTGTGAACGGGCCTTAAGTCTCCGATAGTATCAAGTTCGTCACAAGCTCTGCTATCGAGGTAAGTTCGCTTCCTAATCTAGACATCTGCTGGTTCAAGTCATTGCGTGAACATTTCTCGATAGATTTACGATACCGTAATTTCTAATGAGCGCAAGACATCTCATGAGAAGCTGAGTACATAGTGCATGATCTGTATAGCACTGCACATGTTCCACAAGCACCAATCTTATCGTAATGACTGATAAAAATAGCGAAATGATACGGCATGTCCATTACCAACTGAAACGTCGCATTTAATTTTTCAACTATAGGCTAACTAACCAATGATTACTACTACAAGATGCGAAATATTTATCGGCGCATTTATTTCCAGTTGAATATTTTGTCGATTTTCCCAATGTAACAATATTGGTCTGCGGCGGTTTTGACCAAGAAGGAATAGATACTGTTGAAATATTTAATAAACGCAGGTGAATCTTGTAAAGAAATCTGCCAGAATTTGCTTGCCTCTGGCTTTGATTCCCGGCACATGCAGGTACCTATGTCATTTCTAAGTGTCTACAGCTAACCATTGACTCTATAAAAGCATGCCGCGTAAATCGATTTATTATTAAGAACAAATATATACATTTTACAATTATGTATATTTTACCGGTGTAACTCAGACTTCTTTCTGTTCACAGTTTAGACTTTAGATCTTTCAAAAATGAATGCAGATCTTCCTGTTGAGTAAATTGTAAAGATTGAGCTGATAATGCTGGAACAAAGTTTACTGTACTCAGAGGCTAGGGAGCGGCTGGACTAAGGTGTGAGGCAAGTTTATTGTTTACAGGTACAGGGCTGGTGATGAAGTGACAAGGAGCAAAACGGCTATGACAAGGTCAACACAAGAATGAACTATTTCTTAGGTGGATTGATCAAAGAAGTCAGGCTGGACGTTGCTACATGGCTTCCCCACCCAAAGGTGGAGCCACGAATTGGTTCTTGACGTTAGTAGTATATGAAATCCTCTTCCTTCTTGAATTTTATTCTACGTCCAGTTCGAGATGTGCGTTGCGAGGCGTTTTCCGGCAGTGTTTCGCTGGCAGGAGTAACCTCTTCGGCCAGTACTTCTGGTTCAACAACTGGAAGTTTTGGTTGACATGGCATGTATGCCGGTTTCAACCTGTCAATGGATACAGCTTGTTCCGCTCCGGTGGGGGATTGTATAATGAACAATTTTGGATGCCTTTGCTGAACCTTGAAGGGACCTGTGTATGGTGCTTCCAAGGGACGTCGCACTCTGTCAACACGTACCCATACGTGACTGCAGTGATTCAGCTCGGTTGGGATGTAGGATTTTGGATTCGAATGGATTTTCCCGTCAGACATTTGGTAAAAATGAATTTTTGACATTTCTACAGCTAAATTACGAACAGAGTCACTATTGAACATTGAATTGTCATTGGTTATCAAAGGATGAGGTAACAGTAACGAGGTTCCCGTAACGGCAACAGCGGGAGAAAATCCAGAATCATTAGGCAAATTCCTAATACTTAGAAGTATAATAGGCAAAGCATTCAACCAATTTTGTTTTCGGGCCGTGATAGCGGTTTTGATAGTTCTATGCACACGTTCTACCATACCATTTGATTGAGGATGATAAGCTGTGGTACGTAGTCGCTGGAATCCTACCAATGCTGAAAGTTCAGAAAATAGTTCAGATTCGAATTGAGTACCTCTATCTGTGACAACATTCAATGGCACACCAAAACGAGAAATCCACACTTCAAAGAAAGCAATGGCAACAGAAGCAGCAGTAATGTCAACAATAGGAATAGCTTCTACCCATCTTGTCGCTCTATCAATACACGTTAATAAATATCGGTATGGAC